CCCTCTTCATATCGTAGTTTGCACTTTATAGAGAAGGTATCGCTTTGCGGGTTCCATGGTATTCCCAGAATTTTTACGTTCTTTCCTTTGTATAGGTCTTTCTGGTCGATCAATCTGTTACATACTGTGTCATTAGTCATAAACTGTCTGAGATTCATGGAAATATTTCTGAAAACGGCTTTACAAAGTTGATATTTTTCCATGAGAGAGTCAGAATCATCAGCTGTTAGTAATACATTATCCACATAGAGGTTTTCCTCTAGTTCCTCATAAGTTTCTGTGTCATCTTGTTTTTGTCTACTTATTCCATACTTTATGGACATAGCGAGTAAAAAGGGAGATGCGTTGATTCCAAATGGGAGGCGGCAGAATCTTAGGATTTTCAAATTACTGGTTGTAAGTGGTTTGTTGACGTCTTTCAACCACAGAAACCTCACGGAATCCCTTTCCGATTCCTGTAGGTATATCATATGGAATGCCTTTTCAACATCGGCTATCATTACCTTGGACCCAAATCGTGACCGCAACAGTATTCCACATAAGTTCGGTAGAATAAGTGGGCCTTGATGAATGACATCATTGAGGCTCAATTCGCCTTTTCTTTTAGATGAAGCATCTAGTACTATGCGTGTCTTCGTTGTCGCACTTTCCATTTTGATCACGGCTTGGTGAGGTATATAGTAGCACGGATTTTCTTTGTTGGGTGGTTTTACTACCTCTTCTATGAAGTTCTTCGCCAGTTGGTCGTCTAGAATCTTGCAGTATTCTTTCCAACATTGAGGATTCTTTTCTTTCATTTTCAGAAGCTGATGCAGTCTGCTTACCGCTAGAGTATAGTTGTCTGCTAAACTGCATTTATTACTTTTCCAAGGAAAGCAGACAAAGATTTTGTTATCTTCAAACTTTACTTTTGCATGGAATTCCTCTAATATCCGTTGATTTTCTTCGTCTCTGTCGGCGAATTCTTCTATGCCTACTCCATGCAGCTTCCATAAATCGCTATAGTCCATATTATTTTCCACATCTGTGCTGATTGTGTATGTTCTCAGTACTTGTTCGTAGTATCTTTCGTGGTCTTCGTAATTCCATGATTGCGACCGCCCTGATATTACGGGGCCAAAGAATGTAGACGTTACGAATAGACCTGAAGGTAGTCGTATCACAGG